TAATCAAAAGCTGGTGAGTGGAGTCACTCAGGTTTTCTGGCTTGGAAGCCAGAAGCTGGAACCAGCTCTCAGGAACAGACCGCCTGGCCCTTTTTAATTGTGTTGAAATAGGGCCAGAGAGACCTTGAAATGGGACAAAATGTGGGGGCTTTCTCTGGGGTTCCCCAGGCCCTGCCTGGTGTTAAGTGAGGAAGAAAGTGCCTGCTTCCCTTCCTACTTCTGGAGCAGTTCTCTGTATTTCAGGAGCAACTGTGAGACTTCCCCGCCACCAGTCCCGTGGCCCTAAAACACAGCCACGGGGCCTTTCGATACCTATTCCAAATCTCTGAGGCCAAAGAAGAGGCTCTGCTATTCAGGGGCATGGTTATGCCGCTTGATCAGTGCTGGGATTCTCTCAGCAGATGCTGAAGGGTGGGCATCTCTCAGATGCTTGTCGTGCTGCATGGTGTCACTGAGCAGAGGCTGCCAGCAGGAGGGACCAGCCCTCTCAGATATGCGGCGTGTGCTCACATCCGCAGCATTCCTCGCTTCTGCATTTTCTCACCTGCAGCCCTATGAATTGGCCCTTCCGTCTTACATTTGCACAGCAGATGCAACAACCATGAAAATCTCATCCTCCAGGGTCGGAGAAGCGAGGGCTCATGCAGGAAGGTCTGTGAGGCCCACACTAGGCGCTTCTTTCCTCCCCTCCCCTCCTTCCTCCCCCAGACGCTTCAAGGCTGTGAAACAATGCCGGAGCCAGGAGGGGCCGTCCAACTCATCCTTGCAGTTTGCAGGATCATTTGCAAATCTTTTCATCATGGAAACATGGAGACCCTCCCGTTTTCCAGCTTAGCAAGTTTCCCTTTGACGGTTGACTTTCTGTATCCTTGCTGCATGGACTACATTGTAATTATGGTCATCAGAATTCCTGGCTAACCAGATCACTGCATTGCTTGATAGGGTCAGAAAATACAGAGGCTATTGTTCTGTGTCCTCTCTCTGCCCAGTCCTGAGAAACATACCCAGTTGATTAGCCCTCAGGGAGGGCCTGGGGGCTTGCAGATAGACATCCAGGGTGGTCTACGAAGAGCTGGACAGCTCTGGAGTGTCCCAAGTGGTTCAGCCTCCAGACCCACAGCCAGCAGCTGGGAGGAAACTATCGTGGCCCTAATGTCAACCTCTTGTGGTGGGTGCCAGTGACTGTCCAATGTGAGGCTTCTTCCTGCCACTCTGTGGACAGAGGACAGTAATGGAGTGGGGGGTGGGGCCAACTAACTGATACAGGTCAGGAATAACGTGACAGATACTCCATGGGGACTGAAGTTGAGCCCACATGAGTCACCCTCTGGGCACGTTTAGATCTCACCCAGGGAGGCATGGAGGAGGCCATCTGACACGAGCAAATGGGTGGTTCATGCCAGTGAGATGTGGATTATTGCTGTCATCCCTTGTGACCCCATCCTTCTATGCTGAGCAGTGAAGCCTGAGGATGCTTGGACTGTGCCAGGTTTGAAAGAGTCCTGGAGACATTTGCATTTAAGTGATTAAAGCCTCATTTGGGAAGTTTCTGTTATGAAGGTAGCCCTGCTAACCAAGTGATCTCTAATAAGAAGGGTTTGAGGGCACACACAGAGGGTTCTAGCAAAACCTCTGACAAATTTTGCAAACAGAAAAATGGAAGACATAGAGGTAACCTTCATGGCTCCCTCTGTCTTCATGGTGGTGAGAGGTGGAGGTGAGCCTGTGCACTCACACGGGGGTCCAGACGGAGGGGCTCAGGGGACGTGGCATGCTCGGACACGGGCCAGGAATATCCACACATGCTTCTTTGAGCGCTTCTCTGAGCTCTGGCTCTGAGAACCCTTCGAGGGCTTACAAAGCCCACCAGGGCCACGATAGTTTCCTCCCAGCTGCCAGCCGTGGGCCTGGGGTACAGATGAGGTCTTTGGAAAGGACCGGCTTCCTGCTGAGTTTTCTCTCAACCAGCAAAGAAAGTGCTTTGGTCCCAACTTCCCCACCATCATGGATGCCAGGGCTCGGGGTTCCCTGCGGAAGCGGATCGCCCAGTAACAGGTGGCGGGGGTGGGGCGCACAGCGCCAGGGGCTCGGACGGGTCGTCTGACATGAGCAGGTGGCCTCCAAGGCCGCGTCCCTTCTGTTGTGTTCCTTCTGTTTGGGAACCTGTCAGCCTCCAGGGAAGAGACAAGAATGGACACTGGATGCCGGAGGACTGAGGATGGGAGACGCCTGGGTGGGTACCCCGTAGCTTCCGTGGGAGGGACAAGGGGACGCAGAGGCTCTTCCCTCGTGGGGACGGGAGCACGGAGCAGTACTCTGCTTGTGTCTCTCTCTGCGTCCTCCCACGTGGTCTCAGCGCTTCTCCTGCCTCTTGATCTTTCCTCGCAGTATCTGGAACTCGTGACACAGGTTCTTATTTCATGTTTTAAAGACGGCATACATTGAGAAGAGCAACAGGTCCCCAGGGCTCTATAACCTGATGAATTATGTGTGCATTTCCTCACACTGCTTTCGGCGTTCAGCACCGTGGTTTCTTCATTCTTCCCTTCCTTTGTCTGCGTCTTTCAGGCAGTTGGAGCCCATCTCTCAGGTACTTTCACTAAGGATGGCATACGAGTGGTATTTTCTGAGTCCTTGTCCGTAGAAGAATGTATTTCTGTTGCCTTCACTCCTGGAAGACTTCTTGGCCACCGATGAAGGTCTTGGTATTTTCCACATAATACGCTGGAGGCGTCTTTCGAGATGTGGTTCCAGAGACGTTTGAGACCAGCCTTACTTTTATTCTTTCACTGGTCTTCCCACTTAGACCGCGGCAGGACTTCTGTCCTTGTCTGTGCTGTGGAAATACATGGCCAGGCCGTGTGTGCTTGTTGGTCTTTGGAGCTCTGTTTGGCCTGAACGGCGTAGGACTCTCCGTGCCACGCAGCTCAGGGACATCTGTCCCCAGATCAGCCTCCGTTTATAGTTTCTTTTCTTCTGGTCTCTTCAGGAACACCCACTATCTATATCTTGGCTTGCTGTTTTGCCCTCTTGTTTGCATTTTTTCCCAATTCCTTTGCACTCTGGGAATCAAAAATTCTTGTTTGTTTTGTACATAACTAATTCATGGTTGGTTTTTTTTTGGTGGGGGTGGGCAATACTAATTCAATGTTTTATTGCAACCAATGTGCATTTTCCTTCTGTTACAACCTTTCAAACTTCCCTACAGTTGTTATCGTTTCCCGTTCCTTTTTAATATCATTTTGGTTTTTTTTTTTTCAAACCAACTTGTCTTTTTCTTTGCATTTGTTTTGTTCTCTCCTTCTGATATTTTTGCTCTGCTAACACAGATGCCATGTCTTCCTTCCATTTATTGAGATTGCGAAACGGTTTCCTGAAATGTTTCTTCTGGATGCCATATGAGATTATGATTAGAAGTTTGTGTTTCTCTTGAGGTTTCTGAATACTGTCCCTCAGTCTATTTTGTGCAGTTAAAGAAACACCGTGTATTACCTTGTCTCCCCCAGTTTGTGCCGCTACAACAAAATACCTGAGACTGGACAATTTATAAAGAGCAGACATTTATTTCTCACGGTTCTAGAGACGGGCAAGTCCAAGATCGAGGTGCCAGCAGGGTCCTTCGCTGGTTCCAAGGTGGCATCTGGCTGTGTGTCCTCCACAGGGGAGGAGCCTGTGTCCTCACATGGCAGAGGGCAGAGGGCAGGGGGCAAGGGGCAAGGGGCAAGGGGCAGCTAATGAATGTTGCATGAAGCCCCTTTTATAAGAATCTTCATCACATTCATAAGAGAGGAGCCCTTGTGACCTAATTGCCTCTCAAAGACTCCTACCACACTGCCAGCACCCAGACCATAGCAGAGTCCATTCAGTAGATCCACGAAGAGTTGGGATTTGTTCGCAGGTGGACACACCCTCTTCCCCCCACACTGCTATTTCCTGTCTACCTGTTTGGTGAAATACACTCCTCACATCTTTAGCCCAGTTCCTACTGTAGTCTCAGTTTTCATTCATTCATTCATTCATTCATTCATTCATTCATTCATTCATTCATTCATTCAATGTTCTGGGCTCTGCCCTGTGCTGAGACTGAAGTAGTGAACAAGAGGGATGTGGCCCTGCCTGTCTTCCCAAATCTTACGGCTTATTTCTCTGTCGATATGATGGGCCTCCCTCCTTCTCCTCTTCCTCCTCCTCCTCCAGGCCAAGTCTCTGAATCTCTGACCTTTAGAAGAACACGAAGATGCTGCCAGGGTCCAGCCTGTCTCCTATAAAAACAGCTTATGAAAACTACACTTCCAGAATGCACTGTGCCATTGCCAGGGGTCCCCTGCTTTCTCCCCAGCCATTTTTTGCGCATAAAAATGTCTGAGTGTGGACTGAAAGCCTTCCAGGGCTGGGGAGAGTGGTACTTTCACCTGTGAGACAGAGGAAAGGTGCCCGGTATTCTTACAGACACAGACTCTGAGGCTGGTGACGTCATCGTGGGCCGTGGGGCCCTCGTTCTCGATTTGGGTCTTCACCCACAGTCACCTTGGGTAGCTGTTCCCGGCTCTGCGTAGGAGTCCGCCCACCCTAAGCAGGTGCCCAGCAGAAAGGCGTGAGGTGGAAGCGAACTCCCAGTCTCCAGCCCCGCTGGGTCTCGGTCTCCCCGGTGGTCCGTGCAGCCCTGTCGGTAATTGGTTGACTCCCTGTTGAGTCAGAGCTGGCAGTGGGGGCCACCCCAGGACTACTCAGGCCGCAGAAGTAATGAAGTGGCTCCCAGGGACCGAGGGCTCCCAGGCACACCCCCGTGCCCTGGCTGCGTCTGGGTGTCCATCTGCCGACTTGGTCGGGGAAGGGAGAACTTGCTGGAGAGCCCTTTGTGGAGGAGCCTTCAAGCAGTGCCAATCACGGCACTGGGCTCATTAGCAGGCATTGCCATGGCAACGGGTCTGCCAGAAAGTGGCTCGTTAGGCTGACAACTTCAGAGCTGTTATATATAGATCTGGGTGTGGGGGGAGTGGGGGTGTGGGGCCCTGTGGATATGCCTTTCTTTAGAGCTCCTATTGCTTCTGGGTCTTGGGTGTGAGAAGACGCAGAGTGGGAGACCTTGAAACTGTCTGATCTGGCTGCTAACGCAAGTGTCTGGAGACCACCCGTTAACCCCGCAAGTCGAGTTTGCTCACAGCTGTAGGAGAAGGTAAGAGTCAGGTGCTCCTGGAAGCCTCCGGAGCAGGGAAAGAGTCCCTCCCGTAGGTGGAGGTGGCACCGCGTTGAACTTGCACTTGGAATGGTGAAGGCTGTGGGAGCAGAGCAGAGGGGCTGGTACTGCCTGGAGGCTGCAGAGACATCTCGAGTCTCTCTAAAACAGTCTGTTTGAAGGGTTTGGGGCTAGGGGACAGGATCCTGTTCTTCAATAAGTAACCGTGCAATTCAACACTGTCCTTTTTGACAAATCATGCTTATAAAAATTTTATGATCTTGGTTTTCATTTCAGAAGTGATGTTTCCTCTCAGTTGCTGCCTCTAGAGCTGCAACGGACTGGTTCCAGAGGACACTGAGCGTAGGACTCACCCAGGATATCTGTTGCAATGCAGACTGCAGGCTGCAGGTTGATTTGGTGGTTGGATCAGGGGCTAACAATGTGCAGCTCAGCTCACACCCAGGTGACTGATAGGTGTCCCAGGGTGGACACATTTTGAGAAACACTGCTGTAGAGGGATTTGTTTTTAATCTCTAGGTGACTTTGCTTGCCTGCTTTCTTCTTTTTTTTTTTTTTTTTAAATTAGGAAATCAATGGCCACCATTAAGAGGAAAAATTTTTGGGTTGTGTTGTTTTAAATAAGGAGACAAGGAAGTCAGTCTGCAGCTAGGGAACGTGACGGCTTGGACGCGGGTGGTGATATTTTTGTACATCTCCTGGGAAGGCATGTATGCTCACTTGGGGACTGTGACACAGGCAGGAGCATCAGGCGTGAGTTGTCATCCTTCTTAGGTGGGAGCTGAGGTGCTGGGTGGTCCCAGGGAAGAAATGGAGCTGATTATGTGTGTCTGGGGAGAGATGTAGCCTGGCTTTAGGTGACGGACAGAAGTCTCTAGAACAAAGCTAATATTCTAAAGTAGTTTGTTTTTACCATGTAATTAGCTGTGCAACACAGGGCAAGTTATGAAACCCTCTGAATCTTAGATTTCTCATTTTAAAATGGGAACAAATGCCATCTGTGAGGCATGCGTGTTGTAAAGATTCGCTAATCGTCTAAAGCACCTGGCCCAGTCCTTGGTGCACCGTAGACATTTGATAACTGGTAAAAGGTACTGTTGATGGGATCTGATTCAGATATTTCTTGAGTACCTATTAGACTAGGGTTCTGACGTGGTCCAGAAACCTCTTAATATTACATATGAAATAGGGTGTGTATGTGCACACACATGCACCTATTTTGGGAGGCACAAGATCCATAGCTTCGATTCCTAGAGGTAGGGTTTCCATATACAGTTGAGCAGGTTGTCTACTGAACAAGGGGGTCCAGATGAAGGAGGACAGAAAGGGACGGAAACCCGGCCTTACGCTCTTGCCGAGGGATGGCCCCTTCCAGAGGAAGAGGCAGTGTTTTGTAATTCTCGCAAACACACTCCGTGCATTAGGCGAAGGATTTCTGAGTTGGAGGAGATCGCTTTGATTTCCCCCACCCCCTCCCCTGCTAGGCGGGGTCCCCAACCTCCTGGGCTTGTGTCACCTCTGCTTCTAGTTCCTATTCCCATGGGAAAGAGCTGACAGAATTGAAGGAAAGAAGCCGCAGGACTAAAGAAGGGAAGGGAAGGATTTAATTTGGAAGGAAACTAATCAGAAGAATAACTTTGGGAGAGACCTTAATTATTGGGTAGTTGTTCACACTGTATCCTCGTGGTGGCTGGGGCGGGGAGCGGCCCTGCAGGAGGCTGGCTGCCCCTGCCCCTCCACGGCCACGAGGGTGAGGTAGTGTTGGTGCTTTTGTCCTCTTAAATGAGGGCTTGCGGGGGGGGGTGTCTAACTTATGCCTTCACCACATATATTTTTTTTAATTTTATGATCTGGTAAAATACATAAAACATAAAAATTTACCATCAGTGACATTTATGAATCCACGATATGGTGCAGCCATTACCACTGTCTAGTTCCAGAACATTGTCATCCCCCCAAAAGGAAAACTTCTACCATTTTTCCCCTCCCCCTGGCCCCTGGCAGCCACTAATCTATTTCTGTCTCGGTGGCTTTGCCCACGGTGGGCATTTCGGGTCAGTGGAGCCCTACACTAGGGAACCTTTTGTGTCTGGCGTCTTTCACTTCGCACGATGTTTTCAAGGTGTGTGTGTGCTGTAGCAGGCGTCAGCACTCCGTTTCTTTTTATTTCTGGAATAATATTCCACTGTTTGGCTGTACTACATTTTGTTCATCCGTTGATGGGCATTCGGGCTGTTTTCACCTTTTTGGCTGTAACGAAATGACGCACCTCATATACCAGTTTTTGTCTGAACACTTGTTTCCAGGGTTGGGTGTAGACCCGGTTTTCTCCCCATCTTCTGACTCCTGACTTGTTTCGGGGAAGCCACCAGGAGGCACATCTTTCTGAGGGGGGTGACGGGCAAAGGGACTGCGGCTGCCTGGGGAGCCGGGGCAGAGAGCCGACCCGTGGCCACTCGGGAGGGACGGGGAGGCAGCCTTGGCCACGTGGGCCGAGGAAGAAAACGGGTCTGGTTGGCGGGTGCCCTCCTTCTCCCCTATTCCGGCACATCGTGGCCCTTCCTAGCTCAGTGCCAGGGACGCCTCCCGCCTTCTGTAGGGTCCCCCATTTCCTAGTCGGGGAGTCCTCAGAGCAGCTGTTGCATCTCCTGGACTGTCCGTGTCCTCACGTGTTCTGACCAACAGGGTAGTTTAGACAAATCACCCAGAGTGACTCTAAAGAGGAAAGTGCCATCCATCTGGCCGGGGGACGGGCATCATGACTGCTCTTGCATGGACGGGCACTGCCCACTCGGTCTCCAGTCCTGTAGGGAGTGGCCTCCTCACCGCCAGCCTCCTCCCCAGAGCAGTTAGCCAACACCTTAAGGTGTCAACCTCCCCAGCAGGGGTTAGCACTTCAAGGCCCGGTAGTCTTGGAAACAGAAACCTCAGAGAAGTGACTGTTGATGGTGACACTTCAGGCGCAGTGATGGTGAGGCTGGGGTGGATGTCGGGGCACTCTCCTGAACGTCACAGCACCGTGGACAGGGGCTGTGACGCACCCCGCCTTCCATCGGGAGCCCCCATCCGTTGAGCATTCCCGGGGACGGGCACTCTCCTAGGTGCCAGGTCGGTTATGTGGGTCTCCCAAACGTCTTCCATACCCGGGCCGATAGAATGATGCTCCGCTTTACAGACGCACAACAGCCAGGCTGAGTGAGTCATTTGCCTGTGGTCACGTGGCTGCCAAGTGGCCGAGTCAGGACTGGCGCTGAGGCTGTTTGAGCCTGAAGCCTGTTTTTGCTGTCCCTCCAGGTCCCCCTCTCTGCAGCCCATTTCTGGCCATGTCAACCTCTGACCCTTCATAATACCTTTTACAACTTCTCATCTCCTCCCGGGTTGTTTGGACTAGCACCCGTCTAGTCTAACCATATTTGATTAAAGAAGAAACTAAAATACTTCACTCAAGGAGAGGCTACCTGGCATCTCACCCCTGTGGTTCTAGGATACTTCTCTATTCAATCAAATACTCATTCTCAACCCTCTTGCCCGCCCCCCATGCCCACCCCTAACCCCACTGGCCAAAATATGCATCTTCTGTACATAGGATACACCACATGCATACGTACACACACACACACACACACACACACGCACTTTACTCATTATAAGACTATTTGTCTTGCCTGGATTTGGGCCTTCTTCCAATCCAGCGAAAGCCGGAGCAGTGTGTGAGGCCCAGGTAAACCTGCTCAGGTGTGCGCTTGTGCTTAGTGGACCTGGTCAGCTAATGAAATAGCAGCGTGGGAGCCTAGGGGGACACCGGCCTGGTGGCTGTCCACCTCGCTGTCACCTGCTTGCTTAGAAGACATCTTCCCCGCAGAATGGAAGAGGCGCTGTGGGTTAGCAGGAGACAGACACATCCAGGGCATCGGGGAAAAGCTTTTAATTAAGTCGTGAAAATTCGTAATGAAACACACACTTCGGCTACACAGAGGGCCGAAGCGGGGCCATGTTTACTCAGAATCCCGGGAGTGGCTCGCTCGGATTCACTCCTTGCCCCGCGGGCACGCAGGGCGCCATGTGGTTTTGCAGCCCTCACGAAGCCCGGCAGCAGCCTGGGAGCCATGTCTACTGCACCCTCAGTCTGTTGTCTCGGCCTGTAAGCAGGCGTGTGGGTGCACACGGCCGGGATGCTGAGCACATCGGGGAGCTGACCGCCTGCAACGACCCTGAACAGGCCCCCGCTGTGCTCAGAAATTCACGGCCACTTTCTCCGTGGGGCTCAGACTCCGATTTGAGTCGATTTACAATTTTCAAAAGGCACAGGTGATCGTGTGGGCTAACTCAGACCGTCTGTCTTTACTTTTAAATGTTCTTTAGCTAATAACTTTTATTTTGGGGTTTATTGGGGGAAATTTAGAGGGAACAGATAATAGAAAGGAATGAATAAAAATTGCCCACAAGCCACTGCGTGGGGAGCACCACTGATTTTGCATCTGGGTCTGTTTCTAGTCTCTGTGTCATATGTATTTTTATCTGATTTTTTAAAATGAAAAGTAATGTACGTGGTTGAACAATTAAACTGCACGTAAGTGCATACAGTGGAAAGCCGGTGTCTGTTCTGTCCCCGAGTGCTAGGTCTGTTTGCCAGTGGGATTTGGACACTTGATGAGAAAAGCTGCTCGTAGCTCTTCCTGGCTTCTCGGGAATTACGATAGGACGCTTTCGTCTCGCTCTGCAGCGACTTGCATGAATTACCTGTGCTAGATCTACACGGCAGGCCCGGGGTCTTGTCTGCTGCTGTGCTCGGTGGTCCCGGGAATTTCAGTCCTTGGATTCCACAGCAGGAGCTGGTGGAAGTGACAGGGACCCTGGAAAGTGCAGCACCTCCGTGAGTGATGTTCTGGGGGCTGACTGGAAGAAAGTGCAGCGCTGTTAGCTGACTGGCGCGTCCCTCTGTGCTCCTGGGGAAGCTGTCCCCTGTGCGGTGGCCCCGAAAGCACAGGTGCTTCTCGCCCCTCGTGCTCATGCAGCCCCTGAGATCACACACGTGCTGCCTGTGACCTCCCCCCAGGGGGGGTGTGGGCCGTGCACTCTCCAACGTCCAGCTGTTCTAGGGTGTCTTCACCAGCCCCTGACTTCCTGGTTTCAAAACACTTGTAAAAATGCCAGATGGATGTGACCTTCTCTTTCCTCCCCAACAGAAGCCTGGAATGGTACCCCCTCCGCCAGGAGAAGAAAGCCAGACTGTCGTCCTTCCACCTGGCTGGCAGAGCTACCTGTCCCCTCAGGGCCGGCGCTACTATGTCAACACGACCACCAATGGTGAGTGCCACTCGGGGAGCGTCCTGCACAGCCCCCGGGCCTCTGTCTCTCTCTCTGGAGGGGCAGTTTGTTCCTCCCTGCCCCACCCCTCTGTTCTGGGGCTCTTTCTTCATCAATCTGTGCCCAGGAGCTGCAGTAGAGTCTTGCTATCGCCATGGTGCTAAGTGGCAGGGGTCCCAGTCGGAGTCTGTGGCCCTGGGAGTTACCTTCAGAGGGAAGGCTGCCCTTCGAGGTGTGGTCATCCTCGGAACCTCACCCACGCTGGGCATCTGTGTTGGCCACAGTCTCATTGCCTGGGGCAATGGGATCTCAGAAGGTTCGATGGTCAACAGCTGTTTAAATCAAGGTAACCAGGTTAAACTACTGCACGATTTCTTGCAACTTTGATGGACGAATGATACTGCAGCTCTGAAACGGGGATTGCAAATGTGAGGTTTCCCTAATTTCAGCACAACATCTTTTTCTCTTAAGTATCTCGCTGGCTGGTATTTCTCAGCATGTTCTTTGGGAAATGCTGGGGCTACTTGTGGATTATTTATCCCATCAGACAGCACAGGTTCCATGTGCCTGTCTGAGTTGAGTAGGACCACACCCCAGTGCCCACAATGATGATGGATTTCCCAGGCCCTCGAACGACCCCAAGATCCCTGGACATCAGCTGGGGATGGTTTGTTTATAAAGTGGGGTGCACAGTGTGGCAGGGTCTGCAGCAAGGTGAGCAGGGGACAGTGTTGCAGGTGTGGTCTTGGGCAGGGCAGCCAAACCAGCTAATAGCCCAGTGTCTGCCATGACTCCCTGAGGAAATTACTATGAGAGAAAGGAAGGATGGATTTGGTAGAAATCATAGACGTGCGTGCCAAGGCAGAAAGTCAAATTCTACCCAAATCCTGGGTAGCTGGCTCAGCCTTGGCCTCTCACTTCTCTCACCTGTGTCCACCTGACTCCGTGGCCACCTCTGCCCACCCGAGGGGATCTCTAATATGTCTTGTGATTATGAGCCTGCACCGGGAGGGGTCCTGGCGACAGGAGCAGCTGCTGGTGAGCAGAGACACAAAGAAGGCAGCTGACAGCTGCCACTCTGGGGTGCTGGCTTGTTCATATCCCCTGGCAGCCTGACCCCCCTTGGGCTCTACAGAGAGAGGGTCTAGTTGAAGAAGTGTCAGAGTTTCTAGGAAAGGAGAAGTGGGACTGTTCTGACCGTTCTAACCTTACGCTTCCTCAAAACAAACACATGAGCAGCTCTGCACAGTTACCCGAGACTGGAGGTTTCAGAGGAGGCTGTGTTTATACGCGGCACCACATCTGCGCCCGCAAAATGCAGAATTTGGCCCACAGGCTCCTGAGATCAACAAGAATTTGGATCCACTCTTGTCCTGAATTAGCTACTCTATCGCCAAGGGGAGTGCAGGAAAGAAAAAGGAGCTGTCTAAAATCAGCATCTTTTTTCAAAATCTTTTTTATTTTTTTTTAAAAAATAGAGAATAATATACTTTCAAGTTAAAAACTCTACTGTTGCAGCATGAAAGCAGCCACACACCATGGGCAAACAAATGAGTGTCACTGTGAGCCCGTAAAACTTTATGGACACCGAAATATGAATTTCAGATAACTTTTACATGTTATGAAATACTCTTCTTCTGATTCTTTTTCAACTGTTTGGCGATGTGAAAGATGACCTTAGCTGGCGAGTTCCCTGCCCGAGTGGTGGTGGGGAGGGCCCGGCTGGCCCGCAGCCCGTGGTTGGACCCTGCTCTGGCTCAGCCGTGGGCTCCAGGAGGACCGACCTGCTTAGCCGCTTCTCCTTTTCTTCTACGCTGAGAGTAATTCCAGCTCCTTGGTCTTTCGTTCTAGACACATGCCAGTTTTATTCATTAGTTGTTTCATTCATTGTTTACCTGCTTGTTTGGCTGAATCAGTCATCCAACACATACCCATTGAGCATCGCGTACGTACCAGGCAGGGTGAGTGTTGGATGCTGGAGATACAAGAAGAGCCACACAGCAGTCCTCGACCTCAAGGTGCTTATCTTCTTGCAGTGGAAGCAGCTTTTAAATGAACACCTGTTTGATTACAATCACGAGAAGGGCCGTCAAGAAGTCCAGGGTGTTTTAAGTGCGTGTGATAGACCCTGGGGAATCAGGGGAGGCTTCTTGGAGGAGGAGGCGGCGGCACCTTTCAGCTGGGTGGGAAGGACGAGGAAGGGGTTCGGATGGGAGATGCCCCGCGGCGGCCGGGAGTCAGTCACGTTTCATGCAGGCCTTGAACGTCATAGTAGGGATTTTGCTCTGTGGCCTAAAGAGAAGGGAGCTGCTGTCTTTCTGCCTCTCCCCTGGAGTCCTTTCTTAGACCTGTTTTTATTTGGTGTTTTTAAGGCTTTTGAATCTGAATGCCTATCGTCTGCAGGAAAGTGTCTATCGGAATAGCCACTCATTCTTCTCTTACCTCCCGACTCTCGGAGTCTGTGCCTTGTTCCTGTGGGCCGGGCCGGCCGCCGGCACCTTCCTGCCCGGCCCCTGCCGAAGCCCCTTCCTTCCGAGCCAGGCGGCAGTTCATGGGCACGCAGGCCCACTGCCCAGGAAACGTGGTCCTTGTTCTGAGCAGGCCAGTCCTCTCTGTCTGTCTGTCTGTCTGTCTGTCTGTCTGTCTGTCTGTCTGCCTGCCTTCCTTCCAAATAGTTCCAGTTTCCCTCCCTCAATCCCTCTTTCCCAGCCAGCGCTTGGGCGTAATAGGTGTTCTGGCCCCATTTTCACACCGCATACACACATCACCGGTTGAAAGTCTGATTTACATTTGCATTACCTTGCTCCAGCTAATCAGCTTATTTCCACATCCATTGAGGATTTATGAATGAGGCTGTCACGGTGCTGGCCGCTGTGCCAGGCTCCGGGGACACAAAATCAAACAAGATACTGTCTCTGCTTTCAGAGGCTGCAGTTCTAATGAGGCCAGAGAAACATATAAACCTGTAAGTGCTATGGATAGTAGCATGGACATCTGGGGGCTCGAGGAAGGGGTTGGTAAGCTCTATCTGGGTATCAACCACGTCTTTGAGGAGGGGCCTCTTAATTCAGCCATCCCAAGCGCAGGTTTCAGCAAGAGAAAGGCTGATGTGTCGTATGGCATTGGTAAGGAACAAGAGGTAACAGAGAGTCAGGGTCTGAGCTACAAAAGGCCCCCCGAGGCATTTTGAGGGTTTGGATCTTTATCCTGTGGGCAGTGGGAAGCCTGGAAAGTTTCCAAGCAGTGGCATGACATGATCAGAATATTGTGGCCAGGTTACTGTGCAGCAGAGTAGTGAAGGCTTTAAGGCCAGTAAGCATGGAGCCCGGCAGACTAAATGAGAAGAGAAATAATGAGGTCAAACTCCAATTCTACAGCAGGGGCTGGAGCGGAGGAGGTAGAATCTGTCAGACAGGATGTGGCAAGTCAAGGGTAGGGAGCGCTCAGATTCCTCCTGGTTTTCTGCCTCATGTGATGGAGCCATGCAGTGAGAATGGGAGAAACAGTTCTGAAGGGAGAAAATGAGTCCATGTTGAGTGTATAGTTCTTGGGGGACATTCAGAGGGAGATGGCTGGCATGTTTGCATAAATGGATTGGTGACTTGGGGGACATCTGGGCTAGAGACGGGAGCTTGGGGAGCCGTGTGATACAGGGCCTGGCATGCAGACAGCAGAGTAGATTTCATCAGTCCCTGCCCCCTTGTGCAGTGACCAGCCTGCACAACCACACCTGGTGGTCCAGGGTGTGCATTTCATCAGCAGAAGAATGAAGTCATGAGGATGCAGAAGATCACCCAGGGCAAGCCTGTAGGAGGGAGCTTTGCAGCACAGGCTTTAAGGTGGTGGCCAAAGAGACTTCGAAGGAATTGTCCGAGGTACGAGGAACCTAGGAGGAAGTAGTGTCATAAAAGGAAAAGGAGAAAAGATCCTCAAGGAGGGGAAGTCAGAGACAGACTGAAATACAGATCAGATTCATGGTTGGGGTGATATTTTAAATCACCGGGAAAAAGCACGGATTATTTAGTAAGCCATGTTGGGCCAGATGGTTAGCAGGAAGTTTCAGTGGTTAAGCTAATACAGTAGCACCGCTGCTTTCATGTAAACTCACCAACACATTCAGAGCATGCATGCTCCGTGAGACTTTGGGAAGTCCCCATCTCACTTAGTCCCCCACAGCTTGTGGCTCTGCAGGGGATTTCATCATGCAAAGTGGCCTTCAGTTCAGCCCCAGGAACTCTAGGGGTTCTGGTATCAGGAAATCACCTGTCCTGTACTCTCTAGGAAAGTGCTCCATTCCCACCAAAAGCTGACTCTGTTGCTAAGAGTTGGGGGCGTGTTTAGTTCATGGATAGTGAGCTGTTACCAATAGCCTCTAGTGTTAAGGGGACTGTCTTAGTCTGTGTGAGCTGCTGTAACCCAATACCATAGGCTGGGTGATGTATAAACAATAGAAATGTTCTGGAATCTGGGAAGTCCAGGATCAATGCCAGCAGATTTGGTGTCTAGCGAGGGTCTGCTTTCTGGTCCATAGAGGGCTGTTTTCTTGCTGTGTTCTCACAGGGTGGAAAGGGCAAACAAGCCCCCTTTGATCTCTTTTTTAAGGGCACTAATCCCACCAGGGCTGTCATGACCTAATCAACTCCTAAAGGCCCTTCCTTTTAGCACTGTCACACTGGGGATTAGATTTCAACAAGTGAATTTGGGAAGGACACAAACATTCAGACCATAGCAGAGACCTCTCTTACTTACACAACAGGTGATTGCATTTTAAGAGAGAGAGAGCACAGCATTGTTTGTTCCATTTATAATCAGAAGGCCAGGTATGCATGCTTAATCACTTAACAGTGAAATGGTCACAGGTACTCAGGTTCTTTTTGGAGAGATGCCAATCTTTTAGATATTGTCTAGGATACATTTTACCATTTGGGCATTATAGGAGTATGTGAAGCCAATATTGAAGTCCAAGATTGGTTTCGTTTAATGTATGACTCAGTATTTCA